AGATTTTTAAAATCCAAATTAGCCTGTGAAAATTTTTTTTGAGTGCTTGGCTGCCGTCACGTCTCCCAAGGGCTTCCGCCACGCCCTTTTTCTTGGAATTTCGAGGTCATGGGGCGACAGAAATTTTTTTTGAAGCATCCCAGATGACTTTGTGAAGAAAAACTGAAGGACGTAAAGCCTATGTTGTATTAGTTTCCACCAAAAATCGAAACAGATTCCAAATCCAAATTTACGCTGTCACAAATTATAATTCAGGCCACGCCCTTGGATTCTATCATGAACAAGGTCGTTACGATCGTGATTCTTATGTATCCATCGTTTCCAACAATATCCAGAATGGATATCTTAGTCAGTTCACCAAGCAAGCTAGGTAAACTTACAAACGAAGATTATTTTCACGAAGATTAAAGCATATTCAGATCGACGATGGAAGATTACGGTGTTGGATACGATTATGGATCCGTAATGCACTACGACCAATTTGTAAGAAAAAATTCATTTGATGCTCGTCTTAAGTTTGCGACCTGAGTTGCCAATGCTAGCGCTTGCCCGCGTGCGCGCCTGTATGGTCGATCGACGTGGCGACACGGTGCCGGCACAGCTCCGGCACGCACAATTAACTCTGGACGCAGCCTTAATCACTTAGATAATTGGAGATTTTAGAGCTTCAGTGCTAATGGCCGCAATACCATCCAAACCATCGACGGTAACTACCAACAAACCATTGGTCAACGTGATGGTCCATCGTTTATGGACGTTAAAAGGATCAACTTGGCCTACTGCAACAGTCAGTCGTGCCAATCCATGAACATTACTGACTCTAACCTTACCTTTAAGATACCTGTGGAGCAAACTTACCATGCCTTAACGGCGGCTATACCGACCCGAAAAACTGTAATGCCTGTCGCTGTCCCAGCGGTTTGGGTGGAACTCTCTGCGATCGTGCGGCCGTCAACCCCTCCCAGTGTGGATCTGGAGATCTTACAGCAGATGCTTCCATGAAAACACTAACTGTTAGAGGAGCTGCCAGCTGCTCTTTTGTCATCAAAGTAAGTATTTAAGACCTCGAGAAAGAGGTACTAAGTTTAAAATGATTTTTAGGCACCATCTGGCCGACGCGTTTATTTCGAGGTGCCTTCCTTCACATTTACCGCTGCTAATCTCTGCCAATACAACTTCCTCGAGATTAAATACGCTGCTGATCTTCAGAGAGGAGGCGCAAGGTATAATCTTATTGGATTCGACAAAAATAAACTAGATTTCAAAAAATATTCGGATTTTTAGCAAAGTTCGGCAAAGTGTCTGGATTATAATGGGGCGCCATGTAAAAAATTTTGAAAGACCGATTTGTTTTTTTTTTCAAAAAATTTTGAAAATGTTCTCAATTACCTACAACAAACAAGTTATTTACTATACTAAGAATCATGTCTACTAAGCCTAATACCTTCGAAATAATCAGCCCCTAATGCCCCCCGCCTGAGATTTTCAGTGCGATATGCGCGCCCTACCAGTGCTAGGGCGCGTTATCGCGAACAATGAGACAATGGGGTACACAAAACTTTGCTTCTTTGTTTTTAGTGGGCTATGCTCCTTACCTCAAAACTCAAAACTAATTTTGCGAGAAATCTCTTTCGATACCGAGCTCTACTAGCTGAATTAGCAGAGGATAAGTGCCAAAAATAAGATTCATTGCGGTGATGTGCCTCCGAAGCGTGCGAGCACATTTAAGTTTTGACATTACAAAAAATCTGTTGAGTACAATGATTCATTCAGATTCTGTTTATCGCCACCTCGGAATTCGTACTCAGAAAGCGACACCCTCGTGGTCATTTACAGAGGTTCTTCGTACACTTCATTCACGCTGAACTACAGATATGGTAAGCTGCCTCTCAGGCATAGTCTAAATAAAAACAACAAAGAACAAAGAGATAGATAAACGCACATTTCGCGATTTCAAAGTTTCTCACGAAGGTTACTTTTAGATCCACCCACTGCTATTGCCCCAACTCCTAGCCCGACGACTACCACACCGAGACCCACAGCAGCTACAACGACTACTCAACGAAGTAAGACTTTTTTGTAGGCAATGTTTTGGCAGGTCCTCTACTGATGGATTTTTGGCACTGCGGCTTATTCGTTGTGATGATCCCGAAAATGTACCTTAAAGAGTACCCAGTTGGCCCAATCGGCCCAAGCTCAAAATGCTTGCCCAGGTACCGTTCACTTGCAGATGGGCGAGTGGACAGAGTAGTTGGGCCCTTATGGAGCAATATCGGATTCCCTTTTTCAGATCTAATTT